CTACAGGGAGGGGCAGGCGGCGGTCAGACCCTGGCAGAGACCACCTTGGTTTCGAGGCTCGCGGTGCTGCCGCATGACACTCCAGGGGGCGCCACCAGCCTCAGCCGGGCCCTCCCTACCTCACCTTGTCACTCCAGTGATCATAGGGGTACACGTCCAGGTAGTTTCGGGCCAGAATCACGAGGCCGTGGGCCACAAAGCGCTCCTGTGCGATGTCGATCTCCACAGTGGTCTCCTGCCCCTGAGCGTCCTGGGAGCAGCAGGCCAGGAAGTGGCGAACGATAAACTCGTACAGCCGCTGTTCGTCCCCCTGTGAAGAAAGGCAGCGTCTGGAATGCCTTCCAGAACCTCGCCTCTCAAGGACAGCAATGTCGCCCAAGTTCAGCCACCTCTCAGCCTACAGCCGGGCAGGGAAAGGGCCCCCCCCCGACTCAAGCCCTGCTGCTGCGGTGCCTGCACGCCCTCGAGGAGCTGATGGGAGTACTAGGCTGGTGCGGCTCACAGCCCTAAGCAGGTGGGGACAGCAGTCACCGTCCTTCCGCTCCGGGAGGTGGTTCTCTGATGTAAACCCAACCGACACAGCAACAAGATGAAAACGCAGAACTTATGAGAGACTCCTTGCTAAGATGCACAGTGGAACCTGTGCCGGGCAGCCTCGGACCAACTTCACCGAAGCGCGGCATTGGTTCGGGGACGTTTTAGTCAGCTGAGTAAGCAAGTATTCAGTGAGGGTCAGTCTATCAAGTCCCTGAGAAGGGGGGGCGGCAGGTGGTGTGGTGGTTAAAGGTGCTGGATTCCCACATGGTTGACCGTGGTTCGACTCCTGGACGCAGTGGCTTGCTTTTTCCCTCTTTCTGGTCAAATTAAAAAATAATAACAACAAATGAAATTAAATAAATAATTTTTATAAAGAATTATTTTCTTTAACTTGAACAGACAGAGAGGAACAGACAGAGAGAATGAGAGAGAGAAAGCAAGCTACCAGGTCCAGGAACTGAAGTGTGGTCAGCCATGTGGGACTCCAGCGCCCCTAACCACCATGCTATCTACTGGCCTCTTAATAAATAATTCTTGAATTAAAAAAAAATTAAATGTGAGGGGCTGGTAGGCAACATGATGGTTAAAGTAGTGGACTCCCACATGGTTGACCATGGTTCTAGTCTGAGACCTGGTGGCTTGCTTTTTCACTCTCTCTGGTGAGTTCATGTCCCCTATAGCAAGCTAAAATAATAATAACTAAAATTAAATAATTGATAAAAAACGGTGTATAGTATGTTCATGCTTATATTCAATACTCCTCTTTTTGAGAATTTATTTACAGGAAAGAACTGAAGATACACACAAATATTTATGTATATAAACAGTAACTATAGAACAAAGAATCTCCAGAGAGTTCACAGGAAACACGTATCATGAATAAACAAAGCATGGGGACCGGCAGAGGGCGTAATGGTTACGTGGCTGGACTCCTGCATGGCTGACTGTGCTTTGAGTCCTGGACCCAGAAGCTCGAAACTCACACCTGTTGTGTGCGTGGCATGCCGAAATCCCGAGAACGGAGAGGGATGGTGTGCCATCCTCCTGGGAGTGATTTCTTGCTTTCTGTCTCTGGTGAGTGCACATGCCATATACCAAAAAAAAAAACTCGGGGAAAAAAAAAAAAAAGCATGGATTTTAAGATTTTTATCACAAAATATACTCGTACCATAATACATTTCCCACAAACTTTTTGAAGATAGGTGTCATGCATCAAAACGTTGGGAAGAACTGAATTTCCCCTAGAACAGACCGTGCACAGTAGATGACGGCCCACCCGTGTGGTCACTACAGGTCACACTTTCAATTACCGTAGCACACGGGAAACGCTCACGATAGGCAACGGTACTTCTAGCTTTTACAAAACTCTTTACGGTTATAATTTCACTGTAAGAGCTATTTATTTATTTATTCTGTGTAAATGCATACACAGAAAGAATAAATCTATATTATTATTATTATTATTATTTTGAGAGAGATTTTTGCTATGGGTGCATGTGCTTGCCAGAGACACAGAGAAAATAAGAAATCACTCCCCAGGGGGAATGGCCACGTAATTCCTTCATCCTCTATTGTCCTCTAGGGATTATTATTATTTTTTTAAGAATTATTTAATTTTAAAATTATTGTTATCATATTTCAGTTTGAACAGAGAGAAAGAGACAGAGACAAAGGGAAAGTGAGAAAGCAAGCTGCCAGGTCCGGGACTTGAACCATGGTCAGCCACGTGGGAGTCCAGCACCTCAGCCACCATGCCACTGCTGGCCCCATCCTCTCGGGATTTTTGAGCACACATGCACATGTGCCTGGTGTGAGTTTCAAGCCTCTAGCTTTGCGACTTGGACCATGGTTAGCCATGTGGGAGTCCTGTGCCTTAACCACCATGCCACATGCTGGCCCTGAATCTGTATTGCTTTTAAAACCAAAAAGAACACACGTTATTAAAAAAGACAGACCTGGGGGTAGCAGGTGGTGTGGTGGTTAAAGGCCCTGGATTCCTGCATGGCTGATGATGGTTCAGATCCAGACCTGGTGGCTTCCTTTCTCACTCCCCCAACCCTCATCAAACTGGAAAATAATAATAAAGTTAAAATAATTCTTAAAAAAAAAAAGAAAAAAAAAAAAAAAAAGAAAAACAAGCAAACAAACAAAAGGCAGAGAGACCTAAGTTTCCTAGCTGTGATAGGCTTGCAGATGCGAGAGCCTGACCGGTGCTTACCCTTCCAGAGTTCGCTCCCTGGCTGAGGAAGGGCCTCATTCAGGGAACTAATCAGCACAGAGCGCGACAGAACGGTGTCAGTCCACCCGCAGGAGGGCAGCGGCAACACACCCATTCCTGGGGATAGATGGGCTCATCTAGTGAGCAAGACCATGGGGCTCACTGTGGTGTGGGTAGGGAGCTGTGGCAAGGTTTAGGATGTGACCAGCCTGTGGGGGAGGGACCAGTGAGGAAGTGGCAGGCCTTGTGACAGAGTGAGGAAGTAGGGCCAGAGATAAAGGGGAGCCCGTTATGGGGGTCCTTCAAATAAGCCAGGCACGGATGGTATATAGATAATCCTGACACCGACTTCTCCTTCCTAGAATGGAAGAAATTTCGAAACGACTTATGGCCTAAAACCAGAGCCCATGAAGTATATTTGTTAACTTACTTTCTTTTTGAAAGAAATATTTATTAAATTTTATTATTAGTAGTATTTTTAAGAATTATCGTGTTTAACTTTTTTTGTTTTGGAGAGGTTTTCGCTATAGGACACGTGCACTTGCCAGACAGAGACAGAAAGCAAGAAATCACCCCCCAGGGGGGATGGCCACACCGCAATCCCTTCTCCTCCATTCTCCTCTCGGGATCTTGGGCACGCACGCACACACGCCTGGCGTGAGTTTTAAGCCACTGGGTCCGGGACGCGAACTGCGGTCGACTTCATGGGAGTCCAGCGACATAGCCATTACGCTAACTGCTGGTTCCCAAGAATTATCTTATTTAACTTTATTTACGTATTTATTTATTTAATTTGAGGAACAGAGTGAGCAAGAGAGCGAGCAAGAGGCAGAAAGTGAGAAAGAAAGCTGCCAGCTCTGGGACTCCAACCACGGTCAGCCATGTGGGAGTCCAGAGCCCTTTACCACACCATGCCACCTGCCAGCCTCAATTATTATTATTATTATTTTAACTAAAACAATCTTTTTTTTTTTTTAAAGAATTCGTTTAATTTGTTTATTCATTATTATTCATTAATTTGACCAGAGAGAGAAGAAAGGGAAAGTGAGAAAGCAAGGCACCAGGTCTAGAGCTTAAACCACGGTTTGGCGTGTGGGAATCCAGTGCCTTAACCACCAGGCCACCTGCTGGCCCCATGCTATTACTGGTTTTAACTTGACCAGAGAGACAGTGAGGTAGAGAGAACACGAGAAAGCAGTCCACCAGGTGTGAGAATTGAACTGCTGTTGGCCATGTGGGAATCCAGCACCTTAGCCACCATGCCTTACTGACTTTTCACTCTGGGGGGATGGTCATGCTGTAGACTCTGCTCTACTCTCCTCTCAGGCTTATGGGCACGCATGGGCATGTATGTACCCGATGTGGTTCTCGAGCCGCTGGGTCGAATACTCAAACTGGTCAGCCCTACGGGGATCCAGCACTTTAACACTGCACCACTTGCTGGCCCCATCCTTTTTTAGTTTTTGCTATAGAGAGTGTGCACTTGCCAGGGAGACAGAAAGAGAGGGAAAGTGAGAACTCGGCCCACGGGGATGGCCACGCCGTAACGCCTTCTACTTGACCCTCCTCTTGATTTTCAGCATCGTGCACACATATCCAGTGTTTTTTTAAGCTGCCGGGTAGGAGACATGAACTGTACAGTAGGCCGTGGGGGATCCAGCCACCTTAACCACCATGCCACCTGCGAGCAGTCAGTTAAAGCCTACTACTGACCCTCCAGCCATTCTGGTTCCAGCAGGCAGCACACCCCAGAAAACCTACCTGCAAGTTGCTGGCGTATTTGGTGGGGTGAATGGGAGGGTGAGCTTGGTCAGATTTGTTCCCATTGCGTGGGTTAGGACCACCCCGCTCTAGGATGCTCCGGGCAAAGGCCCCCCAGCGTGGATCCTGGGTCTGCTGATCCACCAGTGCAGTCAGGTTTAAGTCTTTGGGGAAAATGTTGGTTTCCGTTCGGGGATAGCTGATAAACCTACAACAAAGGCAAACAGACAAAGAAGTCACTAAGCTCTTTAATTCGGCACCCTACAGTCGCCCACCTGGCATGATCATCTCAACAAAACTGCCTGATCATCTGCTCTGAGTAAGCTGTGAGCCATGAGCCCTTGGGGTAAGCAGCAGCAGGCTCTCCTGCTAGGATGCTCAAAGACATGCAAGAAGAGATGGAAAGGGTAGTGTGCGCAGGAGAGGCCGGAGCCCTCATAGCAGCACTGAGCCAGGGCCAACCTGGCTTGTTTCAGGGCCGATCTGACAAACCACCTGGTGCATGCAGAAGTCTCACTGGCCCTGACAGTTCTAGCAGTGTGTGCTTCCATAACTCATCTTTTTTTTAAAGAGAGAGTTTTGTTATAGGGCGTGTGCACTCACTGGAGAGACAGAATGAGACAGAGAAAGCGAGAAATCACCCCCTAGGGGAGATGTTCATGCCACAATCCCTTCTCCTCCATTCTCCTCTCGGGATTTTGGGCACGCACGCACAAGCACCAGTGTGGGACTCGAACTGCGGTCCACCACATGGGAGTCGAGCAACATAACCATTACACCATCTGCTGGTCCCTCCGTAACTGATCTTAAAATATACAAAAAAAACTTGGGGCCAGCAGGTGGTGTACTGGTTAAGGCTGTGGACTCCCACATAGCTGACCAGGGTTCCAGTCCAGACCTGGTGGCTTGAGAATCATGCCAGGCACTTGTGTGAGAGTGCCCCAAATCCTAGGAAGCTAATGGCAGAGAAGAGACTGCGGTGTGCCCATTCCACCTGCCCTGTCTCACCTCTGTCTCTCTCGAGTGCATGGCAAAAACTTTGGACAACAGTTGGATGACCTCAGCACTTGGGCTCTCATGACCCCAGGGAGGGAGGATTCTCACAGGCGATTGCTCCTACATGTGCCACTACCGCCTGCCATTACCAGGGTCCCAGGGAGAGCACTGGGGTCAGAGTAAGATCTGAATTCATTGAATGGATTCCTGAAACACTGCTGAGGATCAGAAAAGGGAAGTGAATTTTAAAACCCTACTATAGAGCTATTTCTAAACTACATCCTCAAGAAAAGGCACGAAATTCTACTCCCACATCCAGAATATTTACCCCTGGGTGTAGAGCTTCTCGGCAATCCTCATGGTCTCTTTAGCATTTATTCTCAACTTGCGAGAAGCCAACTTCTCCAGCTCCTGTTAAACAATCGACAGGTGCGTTAGGTGCAGTGCCCGCGCCAGAGGCTCCACAGGACCACACGCCTGCCTGCAGACAGGTCTAGCCCCAGCTGTTCACATGGACGGGGCATCTGGGCTGGGTAGGCCAGGTGGAGCCATGTCCCGGCCCACTGGTTCTGACTGACGAGTAGCTATGGGGCTCACCTGGGAAGCTAGTAGACTCACAGAACCTGACAAAGTAGGGCTGGGACACAGGCGGAACTTGATGTCTTGCTTTACGTCATTCATGATAGGGCACACGTGCATGTACGTGAGAGACAGAGACAAGAGATCAAGTGCCCGCCATAGGGTATGGCCATGCCGCAGTGCCCTCCCTCCAGCGCTCCAGCCCGTTGGGACGTGGGCACTTTTCTGTTTCCGGCTGACCAAGCCAGGGATCTGAACCATGGTCACCACGGGGAATCCAGCTTCTCTTAAGCAGTGCATTACTGTTGTGCCATGGAGCTAGCCCAAAATTGGCCTTAAAAAGTGGAATAATAGTGATTCTAACAGTCGGAGAATCACACTTCCGGAACACCACCTAAGCCCCAGGAAATTCCTCTGAACAATGAAGACCACTCCTCTTGCAGGATAATTAGCTGTCTTTTCCCTAGGTAATGATCTTTTTTTAAAAAAAAAAAGGAATTATTTTGTTTAACTTTGTTTTTTACTTTGACCAGAGAGGGAGGGAGGGAGAGAGGGTGCGTCACCAGGTCTGGGACTTGAACCATAGTCGCCCATGTGGGAGACTAGCACCCTTAACCACCATGCCACCCGCTGCCCCCACCTCCATATCCTAACGCGCTGTCGACTGTATGTTAAAGCCAACCAGAGAGGAACTAAACATGCATGCCTACTGTATTGAATCAATCCCACTGTATTTCCTTTCCTTATACACGTGTAGTAGGGATAAAGTTCAGAGAATGCATATTATGAGAAAACTACACACTGATTTCAAATTTTTTTTTTTTAAACAATTTTTTTTGGAGAGTTTTTTTTTGCTTATAGGACACGTGCACTCGCCAGACAGACAGAGAGACAGAGACAGAAAGCGAGAAATCACCCTCCAGGGGGGATGGCCACGCTGCAATCCCTTCTCCTCCATTCTCCTCTCGGGATTTTGGGCACGCACGCACACGTGCCCGGCATGAGTTTTAAGCCACCAGGTCCGGGACACGAACTGCGGTCAGCTACATGGGAGTCCAGCGACACAGCCATTATGCTAACTGCTGGTCCCATGATTTCAAATTGTTTTTGCACTAAAATAACCTCATACTTTAATTTCATTTTCCATAAACTCTTTTCTTTTTTAAAATTTCTGCCATAGGGTGTGTGTGCTTGCTAGAAAGAAAGAGACAGAAAGGGAAAGTGAGAAATCACCCCTTGCGGGTGAGTGTGGGCACACTCATGCCGTAATCTTCCCCTCCATCCTCTTCCTGAGATTCTGGGCACATACACACACACACACACATGCTCTCAAGGTGATTTTCCGGCTGCTGGGACAAAGACTCGAGCCATGGTTGGCCACGTGGGAACCCAGTGCCTTAACCACCATGCCGCCTGCTGGCCCCTCCGTGAACTTTGTGAAGTCCCCGCATACTGTGGCTCGCTCGAGAGGAGGACTGCACTGCCCACAGCCGTTCTGTATGTCCAGCCTTTGGAGTTAAGCCTCACAGTAACTACCTGAGCTCCTTCTAGGATGACTGGAAAGGGGCACCCCCAATGGGATTCACTCAGACTTGTGTCCAGGGATGGCGCTTCCTGGGTCAGATAACTTGAGAGGCCCTCTTCTAAGGTAGGTTCATGTGGGAGATACATAAAACAATGTTCATGTAGATTATGCAGCAACAGAGAAAAAATGCTTGGGTGCAAACAACAAGCGATTCCAATCCTGATGCTGCGAAAATATATGTATGAAGAAGAATAGGACAGACATCGAAATGACACCAGCAAATACACGAGACTGGCGAGGTTACAAATCTGTCTCCTTCTTTCTGTTTCTCATACCTCATGTGATGCAGTTATACTGCATACGGTGACTTAGAAAAAGGCATTGAGGTGGCAAGCAGGCCCATGACCCTCTCAAGTGCAGTGCTGGGTGGCCCTGGAGGGCAATGCTCTCTCCCCCTTGGGTTCGATGCAGTAGAACCCCAGCACCGCGACAGGAAGTAACGGTTCCTTGGTGCTCAGCCATCGGCAGAACGTACCACGGTGTCCAAAGCCTGAGGCCTCCACTTGCTCTTTGGCTTCGACTTGACCTCCACGACAGTGGCCATGGGATCCTAGAGGGCCAGGAAAGCAGAGGTCACGTTTCTGTTGGCGTGTCTCCTCCAGCCACCCTGCTCACCCCTCCAGGTTACACTGACTGCTGCTGAGCCCACAGAGTGTCCGTTTGTGTCACATCGCCTCCTTCCCACTCAAACCACAATTTGAAAGGGTGCCCCCCCATTGCCCACAACGCTCAACAATCCAGGCATCTCCCAAGCAGGTTCCGCCCAGCACATGCAGTGCTTTTTTTTTTCTAAACTACATCCTCAAGAAAAGGCACGAAATTCTACTCCCACATCCAGAATATTTACCCCTGGGTGTAGAGCTTCTCGGCAATCCTCATGGTCTCTTTAGCATTTATTCTCAACTTGCGAGAAGCCAACTTCTCCAGCTCCTGTTAAACAATCGACAGGTGCGTTAGGTGCAGTGCCCGCGCCAGAGGCTCCACAGGACCACACGCCTGCCTGCAGACAGGTCTAGCCCCAGCTGTTCACATGGACGGGGCATCTGGGCTGGGTAGGCCAGGTGGAGCCATGTCCCGGCCCACTGGTTCTGACTGACGAGTAGCTATGGGGCTCACCTGGGAAGCTAGTAGACTCACAGAACCTGACAAAGTAGGGCTGGGACACAGGCGGAACTTGATGTCTTGCTTTACGTCATTCATGATAGGGCACACGTGCATGTACGTGAGAGACAGAGACAAGAGATCAAGTGCCCGCCATAGGGTATGGCCATGCCGCAGTGCCCTCCCTCCAGCGCTCCAGCCCGTTGGGACGTGGGCACTTTTCTGTTTCCGGCTGACCAAGCCAGGGATCTGAACCATGGTCACCACGGGGAATCCAGCTTCTCTTAAGCAGTGCATTACTGTTGTGCCATGGAGCTAGCCCAAAATTGGCCTTAAAAAGTGGAATAATAGTGATTCTAACAGTCGGAGAATCACACTTCCGGAACACCACCTAAGCCCCAGGAAATTCCTCTGAACAATGAAGACCACTCCTCTTGCAGGATAATTAGCTGTCTTTTCCCTAGGTAATGATCTTTTTTTAAAAAAAAAAAGGAATTATTTTGTTTAACTTTGTTTTTTACTTTGACCAGAGAGGGAGGGAGGGAGAGAGGGTGCGTCACCAGGTCTGGGACTTGAACCATAGTCGCCCATGTGGGAGACTAGCACCCTTAACCACCATGCCACCCGCTGCCCCCACCTCCATATCCTAACGCGCTGTCGACTGTATGTTAAAGCCAATTTAACCAGAGAGGAACTAAACATGCATGCCTACTGTATTGAATCAATCCCACTGTATTTCCTTAACACATACACGTGTAGTAGGGATAAAGTTCAGAGAATGCATATTATGAGAAAACTACACACTGATTTCAAATTTTTTTTTTTAAACAATTTTTTTTGGAGAGTTTTTTTTTGCTTATAGGACACGTGCACTCGCCAGACAGACAGAGAGACAGAGACAGAAAGCGAGAAATCACCCTCCAGGGGGGATGGCCACGCTGCAATCCCTTCTCCTCCATTCTCCTCTCGGGATTTTGGGCACGCACGCACCCGTGCCCGGCATGAGTTTTAAGCCACCAGGTCCGGGACACGAACTGCGGTCAGCTACATGGGAGTCCAGCGACACAGCCATTATGCTAACTGCTGGTCCCATGATTTCAAATTGTTTTTGCACTAAAATAACCTCATACTTTAATTTCATTTTCCATAAACTCTTTTCTTTTTTAAAATTTCTGCCATAGGGTGTGTGTGCTTGCTAGAAAGAAAGAGACAGAAAGGGAAAGTGAGAAATCACCCCTTGCGGGTGAGTGTGGGCACACTCATGCCGTAATCTTCCCCTCCATCCTCTTCCTGAGATTCTGGGCACATACACACACACACACACATGCTCTCAAGGTGATTTTCCGGCTGCTGGGACAAAGACTCGAGCCATGGTTGGCCACGTGGGAACCCAGTGCCTTAACCACCATGCCGCCTGCTGGCCCCTCCGTGAACTTTGTGAAGTCCCCGCATACTGTGGCTCGCTCGAGAGGAGGACTGCACTGCCCACAGCCGTTCTGTATGTCCAGCCTTTGGAGTTAAGCCTCACAGTAACTACCTGAGCTCCTTCTAGGATGACTGGAAAGGGGCACCCCCAATGGGATTCACTCAGACTTGTGTCCAGGGATGGCGCTTCCTGGGTCAGATAACTTGAGAGGCCCTCTTCTAAGGTAGGTTCATGTGGGAGATACATAAAACAATGTTCATGTAGATTATGCAGCAACAGAGAAAAAATGCTTGGGTGCAAACAACAAGCGATTCCAATCCTGATGCTGCGAAAATATATGTATGAAGAAGAATAGGACAGACATCGAAATGACACCAGCAAATACACGAGACTGGCGAGGTTACAAATCTGTCTCCTTCTTTCTGTTTCTCATACCTCATGTGATGCAGTTATACTGCATACGGTGACTTAGAAAAAGGCATTGAGGTGGCAAGCAGGCCCATGACCCTCTCAAGTGCAGTGCTGGGTGGCCCTGGAGGGCAATGCTCTCTCCCCCTTGGGTTCGATGCAGTAGAACCCCAGCACCGCGACAGGAAGTAACGGTTCCTTGGTGCTCAGCCATCGGCAGAACGTACCACGGTGTCCAAAGCCTGAGGCCTCCACTTGCTCTTTGGCTTCGACTTGACCTCCACGACAGTGGCCATGGGATCCTAGAGGGCCAGGAAAGCAGAGGTCACGTTTCTGTTGGCGTGTCTCCTCCAGCCACCCTGCTCACCCCTCCAGGTTACACTGACTGCTGCTGAGCCCACAGAGTGTCCGTTTGTGTCACATCGCCTCCTTCCCACTCAAACCACAATTTGAAAGGGTGCCCCCCCATTGCCCACAACGCTCAACAATCCAGGCATCTCCCAAGCAGGTTCCGCCCAGCACATGCAGTGCTTTTTTTTTTCTAATTCAGGACAATATAGAGTTAGACATACGAGAAATTACATATTACAAGCTAGAGAATTCTTTTTTTTTTAAGAATTATTTTATTCATCATCATACTATTATATTTATCTTTTTTTTTTTTGAGAGGTTTTTGCTATAGGGCACGTGTGCTCGCCAGACAGACAGAGAGACATAGAGACAGAAAGTGAGAAATCACCCCCCAGGGGGGATGGTCACGCCGCAATCCCTTCTCCTCCATTCTCCTCTCGGGATCTTTGGCACGCACGCACACGCACCCGGCGTGAGTTTTAAGCCACCGGGTTTGGGATGCGAACCGCAGTCAACTATGTGGGAGTCCAGCGACATAGGCATTACATTAACTGCTGGTTCCCCCCCCC